TGGGACATATGTCCCCAGAGGATTGGGGACTCTACCCATCCTGAGCATGGAATACATTTCCATGTATTCCCAGGGAAAGTGAAAGGAGGGAGGGAGGGAGGGAGGGAGAGAAGGAGGGAGAGAAGGAGGGAGAGAAGGAGGGATTGGCTGCTGAGATATGCATTCTTTCAGATGCCCCCAGAATTAGTAGAATGTTTTAAGAGATTAGAAACATAAATTTACCTTTTAACTGTCAGCTCTCTGTTGTCAACAAATGTCAGATTCCAGCAGCTGTCTTGCAAGATTGCTGGGTTCTCTTGTACTACAATAAGAAACTGAGCAGGGACATGTGGCCAGCAGGAGAAGTAGAGGTAATTCATTAAGACAAGTGCACTCCCAAGGGAAGGTGAGGGCCAGAGCTGGGACACAGGGTGCCCACTTCCCACAGACTGGGGTCTCCAAAGCTCACTTGCATGGCCCATCTTTTTTTGTGCATTCTCTATTACATGTTGGTCTTTGGCAGAGAGTTTTCAGTCTTCCTTTCTGCCAAGTGGTTTCTTTCATATGGTAATTTTTAGATGTACCATTTTAATAATTTTTAGGACTTATTTTGTGTATGGATATTTTGCCTGCATGAATATATGTGAACCACCTGTGTGCCTGGTACCTGTGAGAGCCAGACAAGATTGTCAGATCCTTTGAAACTGGAGCTAGAGATGGTTGTGAGCCACCTTGTAGGTGCTGAGATTCAAACCTGGGTCCTCTGGAAAAGCAGCCAGCACTCTTAACTGCCAAGCCATCTCTCCAAATCCTTTCATATGGTAATTTTAGAGGATTTTTTATCTCTATGTATGTGTTTGTGTGCATGTGTATGTGCCACATGTGTGCGAGTGCCCCCAGCAGACAGTCGTGTTTGCTGGAGCTGGAGTCACAGGCAATTGTGAGCTGCCTGACGAGAGTGCTGGGAACCGAACTCAGATACTCTGGGAGAACAATATGTACTCTTAACCACTGAACCATCTCTACAGCCCTCATGTGGTAAATTTGACCTCACGCTCCTGCTGCACACCCCCTCCTGAGATCTGTGGTCCCAGAAATCTTTTGATGGAGGTAAAGGATAGTGAACTACCTTTGGTTATTTCTTCCATACTGATGAAAGGCACAGACAGTCCTTGCTAAGGGCCTTGGATACCTACCTGCTGCTTTTGTCCAAGTTAATAATTTCTGGTTATGTATGAGTGCTCTGACCTCCAGATCAGCACACTGACATCCCTTGGATGCCACCATCTGGATGTCCTACTGATGCTATGAAAACATCGTGTCTTTCCTATAACAACAAAATTATAAAAATGACCTCCATTTTACATCAATTCCCCTCGAGTGTGGCTGGAACTTGTGTTGTGAAGACACAACACTCATGGTATGACAGCCTATCTGTGTGAAAGGGGCGTTTGTAGATGTAATAAAGACCCTTTATAGTTGAGCTAACCCAAGAGGACACTGTTCTGTGTGGATCCAGACTAATTAGGTACACTCTAAAATAGGTGTATTAGTCAGGAGTGTTTTGAACAGAACTAGAATAACATATATTTATCATAAAAGGGAATTTATTGAGTTGACTTACACAATAGGAGCCGGATAATTCAACAGTGGCCTTCTACATGCTGGAGAGGCAGAGAACCTGGTAGCTACTCAGTCTAAGATGTTGGATACTACAGAACAAGAAACACCAATGATATAGCCTCAATCAAGTGCTGAAGGCATGGAGCCTCGCTGAAGAAGCTCTGGTATGGACTCCATGATGAAAAGCTGAAGAACCTAGAGTCTGGCTGTGGCAATGGCTATAGAGGAACTCAGTCAGGGAGAAAACGGAGCTTGCACACATACATGTGTACAGATACTCATTTCCTCCTCCTCCTAACTCCCTCCCATCAGGACCTGGAGCCCACTGAATAGCACCACACACATTCAGGGCATGTTTTCCCCTCTCCCTCTCACTGCTCCACATCAACCCTCTCAGGAAACGTCCCTGCAGATGTGTCTCACCAATCCTAGGTAGCTCAGTCCAGCCAAGTTGACAACCAAAATCCACCATCACAAGAGGCATGAAGAGGGATGTCAAAGAGACACATCCCTGCAGTTCAGGAAGATGCTGTGGATGGCTAACAGGACAAGGGATCTTCAGCTGATGAGGATGGTCACTGACAAACAACACTCAAGAAAATGAGGGCATCGATACTATAACAAATAACTTAATTCTTTAAAGATCCCATGTAGCATAGATCCTAATCAATGTTAACAATAAAAACCCAGAGCCAGATATTGGATTAAATGCTGAAAGATCAGTAAAGGAACCAGCCACTAGAGAGCCTTCTTGCTTCTACTAAATCTTCAGTCTGAAAGGGGCAAGATCCTGTCTCCACAAATCCTCAGACTAAATGCAATGAATTTCCATCTCCTCCCACCTTATCTATCTGCCCAGCCATATCCCTTCCTGTCTCTACCTGTAGACCAGGCTGGCCTCGAACTCAGAGATCTGCCTGGCTCTGCCTCCTGAGTGCTGGGATTAAAGGTGTGAACCACCGCTGCCTGGCTCTATGATTCAGTTCTTGTTTTTGTTTTGTTTTGTTTTGTTTGCCATCTCCAGCTTAACAAACCAGCCTACCTACATCTTATACTCTGTGTATTCACTTAAACATTGATAATAACTGGAACAAGGCTCCCCATGAAGGCCTTGGGTCCACAGCCGCCAGGAAATCTTGGTGCTGCCTTTTCAAGGAAAGGACTGCATGGAACCAGAACCTTCAAAGACTCCTATCAGGAGCTGGTGTTGGAAAGGAAATAGGGGTCTGTAAACACGACCATGGGGAGCAGGTTGAGTGACCGTCTCACATAGGCGTGCAGGAGTTAGAGCAACACCTCTTTGATGATAAGTTTGCAGCACCCACAGGCTTGCGGGGTGGGTGGTGGGAGGGCTCGGACTCTGCTGTCAGAACCACCTGAATGAGCACTCTACCAAGTTGTCTGTCCTTGGCACCTCTGCATGCTCATTTGCAAAACAGGAACATCTGTATCCGCATGCTGAGGAAAGGTGAAATGCCTGCCCCGGACAGAGTGTTTAGCATGCAGACACACAGGCACCCGGTGAAGATTTGTCGCTGTGATTTGTTTAATAAACAAGCTGACTGGCCAACAGCTGAAGAGGATAAAGTTAGGCAGGAAAGCCAAACTGAGAATGATGGGATGAAGAAGTCTCCAGCCAGGCAGAATGAGTCAGACACACAAAATGGGATAGAGGATCACAAAGTGAGTTTAGAACTTCAGAGTTCTGGGATGGAATCCAGACTTAAGTCCAGAAACCTCAAGTAGGTGAGATGACCTGGATCTCTCTGGTCAGAACCTCAGATCTTGCATTGGCAGCAAATGGGGAGAGAGGAGCTGGATTGACAGCATGAAGACCTACAACCTGAAGAGCAGCAAGGCTTGCAGCAGGTGGACTAACAGCAGCTGGACTCAGCAGCAGGACTTACAACAGCTGAACTGACAATAGCAGAGCTTGCAGCAGCTAGAATTGCAGCCCCCACAGGAAACACAACCACCCTTGCAGCCCCCACAGGAGCCACAGCCTCCCTTGCAGCCCCCACAGGAGTCACAGCCACCTTTGCAGCCCCCACAAGAACTACAGCCACCCTTGCAGCCCCCACAGAAGCCACAGCCACCCTTGCAGTCTTCACAAGACCCACAACCCCAAGAGCCACAGCCCCAAGAGCCACAGCTTCCCTTGCAGCCCCACAGCTGGAGCCACAGCCTCCACAGCTGGAGCCACAGCCTCCTGAAGAGCCACAGCAGCTCGTGGTTCTGGTGATTGGTTGAAGGTGGAACAGGTCAGAAAAGCAGGTGGAGGAGGAGGTGTGCAGGCGTGGAGACCTCTCCTCCAGGAATCCTATGCCCTGGCTGCCTGGAGCACATGGCCATTTCCTTGGGTGTGTTCAGGAGCACTGCTGGGAAAACCCCATTTGTCCTCCACTGCAAAACAGAGGCCACAAGTTTGGTTTCCTTGCTCCCTCCTGTTGTTCTCTAGCCCCCGTGTACTGATCTCTCTGTCCACTGTGGAAACAGAAGCTGCATGGTCAAGTCTGGCCTGTCCTCTCTCATGATTTTCTAGGCTTCCCACAACACACACAATTTTCATGCACATATATGATGTTTTTATTCTATTTGACTCCCCCATTACCCTCTTCTGTCATCTCCCCATTCCCACTGTTCACCTTCCACTTCCCAATAAGTCCCCCTTCAGTTCCTCTGTGTGTGTGTGTGTGTGTGTCCCAGTGAGTTTAACTAAGATTGCTTGCATTGAACATGTGTGTGTGTGTTACTTAGATGAGCTCTAAGATTATTTTCATTTGAAACACAGACTCTCCTGGAGCTGAAGAGATGGCTCAGCAGTAAGAGCACTGCCTGTTCTCCTAGAGAGTGCTGGTACAATTCCCAGCACTCACATGCCAGCTCACAACCACATGTAACTCCCGTTTCAGGGGATCTGATGTACTCATCCAGGGGAGGGCACTGCATGCACTTGGTGCACATACAGTGCAAGCTGAACACTCATACATATAAACAAATTTCAAGTAAATCTTTTAAAATGGACTCTTATATTACATTCTACTTGGCTATCTGCCTGCACACACAGTTCTCCCCCAACAATGACTGCTCTATAATGCACCTCAGGGTTCGAATGCATCCAGTTCTTCCTTCTGCCCTCCCTCCTACTTCCCTCTTTATTTTCTTCCTTCCTCTGTTCTGTTTCCTTCCTTCCCTCCTCTCCTTTTCCCTCCCTTCCTCTACCCATCCTTCCCTTTCCTTTTTCCTTCTTCCCTTTTTTCCCTCCCTCCCTCCCTTCCTTCTTCCCTTTCCATTCTTCCTTCCCTCCCTTCCTCTGTCAGTTTTATATTTGTCTGCTTTACTCATGTGTCTTATTTCTTTTCCTGTTGTTGTGATAAAATGCTCTAACAAAGGCCAACTTAAGGAAGAAACAGTTTATTCTGGTTTCCAGTTCCCAGCTACAGTCCATCATGTCAGGACTGTGGAGACAGCAGCAGCTTGAAGCAGCTGGTCACATGATGTCCACAAACAGGAAGCAGAGAGTGCTGAATTACTGCTGCTCCTCAGCTTCCTCTCTCCAGTTACACAGTCCCGGGCCCCAGCCAGGGCATGACACCTGGGTAGGTCATTTTATCTCAATTAATGAAATCAAGGTAATTCCCACGCAGGCCTAAAGGCTCTCTTCCCAGCTGAGTCCAGAGTCTGTCAAGTTGACATTGAACACTAACCATCCTGCAGGAAAATTGTCAAAAATAAATGAGTTTTATAAGTAAACTAAAAATCAGTCTCCCACCTCAGACTTAAAACACGCTGGCTGGTAATCTGAATGAGAAATGTCCCCCTAGGCTCACCTATTTGAATGAACACTTGGTTCCTCCTAGGTGGCACTGTTTGGGAAGGGTATGGAACCTTTAGGAGGTGGAGTCTGTTGGAAGAAGCACATTGCTGCTGGGGGGATTTGATGGCTTATAGCCTCAGTCCACTTTCTGCTCACGCTTCCTGTGCACAGATGAAATGTTACCAGGCAGCTTCCTGCTTCTGCTGCCACGCCATGCCTTCCCTGTCGTGATAAGCCCAAATAAGTTCTTTTATCTACAAGTTGTTTTTGGACATGGTATTTTATCACTGCAACAAGAATAGAACTAATACACCTATTGTGATAGTTTTCTTTTTTAATTCTCTTGAGGATTGTCTTAACACACCAGTATATATGGGATTTCAACATCAAAAGGTAAGTTTGGGTATTCCTTAAGCCCCCTCCTCTGCTGATCACCACGGTCCTAGGCTTCATCTCAGCATAGTCTCAGGCTGTAGGCTGATCTTACCCAGTTGTTCTGTGGTCCCAGAAGCCTATGTCTTGCAGTCCAGCAGGCTGCAGGTGCTGGCTTTGACATCTCTCCCAGGTGGATGAACTCTATGGGGTTTTCTCCTCTTTCTCTGGGTCCTAGGCCAGCTGTCATCCTGGGAAGTTCCTTGAGAGTGCAAGACTTATGGGCTGCCTCTCTGAACTGCTCAGCAGAGCCCAAGATTTTCCCAGGTTCACCTTGTTCAGATGGCACCCACCATGAGTGTCCTAAGAAAGAAAGTTTGGCAGATAGATTCATTGAAGATCAGTGTACCTGAAAAAAAGGTTTAGTTCTGACCAGGAACTTGTTTAGGTCAGAAAATTTTCCCAGAGTGGAAACCAAATCGCTCTCCCTTCTTCTGTTCTTATTTTCTTCTTCATTCTTTTCTTCATTGTATTTATTTTATTTATTTATCAAGATATAGTCTGCCTGGATGGCCTCAAGTTTACAGAGATCTGCCTGCCTCTGCCTCCTTAGCAGTGAGATTAAAGGCTTTCGCCACCACTCCCAGCCTTCTGGTGTTTTATGTCATTGTTACTGAAGAGCATTCCAATGTGTTCATCCATTTCCTGTGAGGGGTCTGTCCCTCCTTCTCTGGAAACTTCAGGGATCTCTTGAGTAGATCTCTGCTCCGTGATTGCACAGTGCCCTTGCTGGGTTTCTCGTTGCCCAACCCCATGACACATGGAGGAAGCATGTGAACCTAAAGACTGTCTGTCAGTGCTAGGGACTCCTGAATGACATCTGATGATATCCTCTTCTCTCCATGCCAACTGTCTCATGTGCTTGGTTCTCCTGGCAATGGATCTGGGTGCTAACTTTCCCACTCCTCTCCAGTGGTTCCTCCCCACATCTTTCCATTCTCTGAAATCTAGTCTTAGTCTACCTTGCAAATTTTCTACTGAGTCTTCATCTACTATTCCATTTTAAATTGCAGAGGCTTTCTTTCATTCTTTGTATTTTCCTGATGTATAGCTCATTATTTTGTAGCTATAATCTAACTGAAATATCGCCTATTCAAAACTCTGTAAGATTTTTATTTTCTCTTCTTAGAATAAAATGAAACCAAATCACTGTTTACCACATGTTCTAGTTTCATTCTGTTGTTGGGATAAAACTCAGACCAAAAGCAACTTAGGGTGGAAAGGGTTTATTTTATTTTATACTCCAGGTCACTGTCCACCTTTGAGGGAAGTCAGACAATTCAAGGCAGGAACCTGGAGACAGGAACCATGGAGGAACACTGCTTGTTGGTTTGGTCACCAACTCACGATCAGCGAGCTTTCTCACACAACTCTGGCTCACCTGTCTAGGGATGGATGGTGCCACGCTCACCGGATTGGCCCCTTCCACATCAATCATCAAAGATAATCTCTTACAGATATGGCCACAGACCAATTTGAATGAGGCAATTCTTCAATTGAAGCCTCTATTCCCAGACAATTCTAGATGGTGTCAAGTTAACAATAAAAACCAACCAGGACACCATACTCGGTGAGACAGAGCAAAAATAGTTCTAAAACAAAAATTTAGAGTTGCCAATGTCTACATTAGAAAAAACAAGGCAATCTTAAATAAATAAGCCAATGATGCATCTCAAGGTATTAGAAAATAAAAAGACAAATCAAAGCTGGTAGAAGGGACAAAAATAGTAAAGTTCAGAGCTGAAATTAATGTATAGAAACCGAAAGACTAATACAAAAGTCTTAATGAAACCAAGAGTTGGTTCTTTGAAAAGAAAAAAAAACATTGAAAAATTCTTAGCCAAGAGCTGGAGGTGTAGTTTAGTAGCAGAATTCTTTCCTAGTATGCATGAGGCCTTGGGTGTGATTCCCCATTTGGGATTTTAAAAGGGCAGAGAGGGCTTGGATAAGAAAAAAAAGGAAAAGACAGAGCTGGAAAGATAAATCTGCAGTTAATAGCATTGGCTGCCCTTGCAGAGGACCAAGGTTCCATTCCCAGCACCTACATGGCAGCTTACAACTATCTGTAACTCAAGTTCTAGAAGATCTAATGCTCTCTTCTGACCTCCATAGGCACATGGTACACAGACATACATGCAGACCAAACACTCATACACATAAAACCAAATAAGTAAATCTAAAAGAAGATTTAAGAAAAAATGTCTAAATTAATAAAATTAGAGGTGAAAGAGGTATTTTCAGATGTCACTGAAACCCAAGGGATTATTGGGCTTCAAATTCAATATGCCAATAAATTGGAAGCCCTTGAGGAAACTGATAAATTCCTAGACACATATAACCTACCAGAATTAGACTGAGAGGCTATAGAATGCTTAATCTGATCTAAAATACTCTGTGGTGTTGAGGCAGTAATAGAGTCTCAACACAGAAAACCCTGGATGAGATTGACTCACTGCTGGTTTCTACTAAACGTTTCCCTAAATAAGAAAGGGGAGGAATTCTTCTAGCCTCAAGCTCTAAAGTCAGTATCCTGATATACATAGTGGATAAAAATGCATTAACAGCAAAAACTGTAGACCAATTTCCCCGATGAGCATAGATGCCTAAATTCTCACCTTCAAACTAAATTCAACAACATGTTTAAAAGATCCTACAGCATAATCAGGTTGATTTCAGGAACTCAATGAAGGTTCAGTACTCACAAACCACAATGTAATACAGCATTTGGATAGAACCAAAGACAAAAGTCAGATGATCATGTCAACAGATGCAGAGAAAATCTTTGACAAATGCAACATCACTCCATTATAAAAGCTCTAAAGAAACTAGGAATAAAAGAAGCATACCTCAATATAACAAAAGCTATATACAAGAAACTTATAATTAGCATTATATTGAACAGGGGACAACTGAAAACCTTAGGAACAAGAAACACAGTGCTTGAAATGTTAATCATAGCTGTAAGGAAGTCAAGAGAAAGAATGCTATAGAAATAGGAATTAAGGAGTCAAACTGTCCCTGTTGATAGTTGATAGGACTCTATACTTAAGACACATGAAAGACCAGTAGAAACCTCTAAGATATAATACATTCAGCAAAGTGCAAGGATACAAAATCAACATGCAAAAATCAGTAGCCTGAAAACAGAGCCACCATATGACTCAGCTCTACTGCCTCTTGGTGTAGACCCAAAATAATGTGTTCAGAACACACCAGAAACATCTGGCTCTCCCATAGTGACTCTGTTCCCAATAGCCTTGTTTTACAATAGCCTAGATATCCATCAATAGATGAACAAGGAATAAATACTATTTGTAAATGAAATAGTCTTTATTTAGCCATAAAGAAGATAGACCTGATACGTGAAGTTAGCCAGCCTCACAAGGATATAAATGCCAGGGGGAAATAAAAGGTCATGAAAGTAAAAAAGAAAAAGGAAGGGAAGGAAGGAAAGAAAGAGAGAGAGACAGACAGACAGACAGACAGACAGGCAGGCAGGCAGGCAACAAGAGGGCTGGGAGATAGCTCAGTAGGTAAAGCATTTGCTGTGCCAGCATGAGGACCCAAGTTCAGGTTCCCAAACCCAGTGCTGGTTAGTTTAATGGCAAGTTGACACAAGCTAGAGTCATCAGAGAGAAGGGAGCCTCAGTTAAGAAAATGCATCCATAAGACTGGGCTGTAGAGCATTTTATTAATTAGTGATTGATTTGGGAGGGCCCATCCCATTATGGGTGGGGTCATCCCTGGCCTGGTGGTCTTGGGTTCTATAATAAAACAGGCTGAACAAGCCAGGAAAATCAAGTCAGTAAGCAGCACCCCTCCACAGCCTCTGCAGCAGCCCCTGTTTCCAGGTTCCTGCCCTGGCTGAGTTCCTGTCCTGACCCCCTTCGATGATGAACAGTGATATAGACGTGTAAGCTTTAAAAAAAAATCCTTTCCTCCCCAACTTACTTTTTGGTCACAGTGTTTTGCCATAGCAATAGAAACCCTAACTGAGACACCACGTGAAGGTGAAACCACACACAAAGTAGGGCACATCTATCATCCTAGTGCCCCTCCAGCCGGATGAGACACAGACACAGAGGAATTACTAGAGGCTCATGGGGCAGCCAGCCCTGTGACACAGCAGCAAACAAGAGACCCTGCCTCAAACAAGGTAGAGGGTGAATACCCGAGGCTGTGAATACCCAAGGCTGTGCCCTGCCAAACACAGCACCATGGCACAAGCACCAGCAATCACACACACAAACACGAGCACACACATCCATGAATGCACATCATACACGCACACTTTTTTTTTTCCAGACAGGGCATTAGAGAAGATGACTATGATCAAGGTGTAGTGTAGCACGTGCCTGTGGAAAGGTCATGGCAAAGGCCCTTATTTTGTATATGTACTGACTTTTTAAAGCCTACAAAGGCATGGATGTTTTAAAAAATCCACCAGTCAAGAACACAAAGACATCCAAGTAACAACATCTTCAGAAAGTAATGAGCCAAGAGAGAGAGAGAGAGAGAGAGAGAGAGAGAGAGAGAGAGAGAGAGAGAGAGAGAGAGAGAGGTGTGCCTTCTGTCGCTCCTTTTGGGGTGAAGAAGGTCAAAGATGAGTGCCTGGACAGAGGTAGGCAAAGCCCCCCTGAAGCATGGGACACCTGTGAGTGTGCAAAGTGGAGGTAACAGATCAGAGCCTGAGAAAGGCCTGACCCCGAGACTGCAGACCGTTAACCACCTGCCCTGGGCCTTTGAGAAGCTGCTTAAAGCCGAGGGAGGGAGTCTGTGAAATGACTGCTGGGTCCCAGGGCACTTCAGTCCATGGTGGGCTGGACAGCTGGGAGAGCTGACAGGGGACTGCAGGAAAGCTATGGAGTTTCAGAGAGCAAGAGTAGAAAGAGGAGAGAACAGAAAGAACTGTCCCATAAAAATGAAACAAACAAAAAACCTGGGCGAGGGCAGCACCTGAGAACAACGGCCCTGAGAGACCATGAAGCAGGACCAACCAAGGAGGAAATGGAGGCATGAAAGACTCCAAGAAGGCTGCAGAGCAAGGAGCCTGAAGGCATCCAAAGAGCCAGAGACCCTGTGCTGGCATTCTGCCCTGAGACATAGTTAGAACAGGCTCTCAATCTTGTCCAAGTTAAATGAAGAACCAGGAGAGCCCAGTGTTTCCATAAGACAATGGAGTGGAAAGGAATAAACAAGGAGAAAACTCACCATGCTGTGAGACACCCAGGCTGCAGGGCCCAGGGCCCAAGTGAAGCACTTCTGTGCCCAGGAGCACCAGATCCTGGGGAGCCAAGTCCTGAAGATCTGTAGGAAAACCACTGATATGGAGGAAGTGGGTCACAGGACAGAGCAATGTTTACTACATTGACCTAGAGCTGCACTAGGGGAAAAACAAAGAACAATCAGGAAGTGACCACGTGCAACCTCACACTTGACCCTGGGCAGGGATATAAAGGCCCCAGGCTCAGGAGGCTCCACATCTGCACACTCCTCTCTCTATCTGCTCCTCTGACCTACTCCATCCTCAACCAAACACCAGAACCATGAGCTGCTGTGGCTGTTCAGGAGGCTGTGGCTCCAGCTGTGGAGGCTGTGGCTCC